GAAGCGCTAGTCACCTGCGCTCTTAGTTTAAGTGCTACAGGTCGCTCCCATCCGATAGGTTCAGATCAGTTAAAAACCTCAAGGGGTCGTAACAATATATATAAATATATATGTATGTATATATATATATATATATATATATATATATATATATATATATATATATATATATATATGCATGTATATATATATATATACACAATATATATACTATATATATATATATATATATATATATATATATATATATATATATATATATATATATATATATATATATATATGCTCTTTTATTTATAATACATTTGTTTGCCTTTATGTATTTTCAACACTTAAAACAAAATGTACAAAAGTCGTATCATAACTTGTAAAGGAAAAACTTTATTTTAAATACATTGCAATTAGTCTTATCTGCATTTTTCTGTATGTTTTTAAGACGACCACTTTTGTTTATCTCGCAGCTATACACAAGTCAATAGCACCACCTATTGTTTTGGCCGGTGATTCGTTTGTTGCTTTTTGTGACGCACACCTCGCCGGGGTGGCTGAGAATAGTAAAGGGTTACACAGCCTTGAATTATCCTGGCATTCTATGGATGGATTCTACTTGTATTTGATATATGTATGTGGTGATCTAACATACGGATTGACGGTTAGTTTTTGTTTTTACAAGCTTTTATTTCCTTCGCAACGTCCGTTTGTGGCTAATCTTGTTAGCAGTCTCAAGGGGGGGGGGGGGGGTTCCAATTTTTACCCGGGGACAAACTTTCGATTTGCACCCCCCCCCTCAAACTTTCGATTTGCACCCCCCCCTCAAACTTTCGATTTGCACCCCTCCCTTAAACTTTCGATTTGCACCCCCCCTCATACTTTTTCTATATACCGAAGGGTCTATGGGGGGGGGGGGGGGGTTATGACCCCCCCTAACCCCCCCCCCCCCTGCCTACGCCACTGCTTGTTAGAGTAACCCAGGGTAATTCCACACACTACTTTTTTTATTTATAAAAAAATCATGTATAAGCACTAATTCATTACTTTATAAGGTGTATACTTGCACACGATATATTTATATGATGGTAAAATAATACATAGAAAATTCTTAAAACAAAAACAGTTTTTGATGTTTATTTTTTTTACGAAAAAAAGGAAGGTGCGACAATTCTACACCATACAGTAATCATTTTTTTATTTAAAAAAGCTAATTTGAAAATGTGCAGACAACTCTAAAGACTTGTATAGGGGCAGCTACTCTTGATCACTGGAAGAAGAAAATGCCCATTTAACAACTTACTGCCTTTTCTACAACCGTTTTCATAAAATCCACGTCTTTAGCAGATATTTTGGGCTGATTATATCTGAATATACTGAAATTAAAATTTTTTTTTTTTTATTAACTACTAATTTTATATAATGCTAATAATCTTATTGTTATTGGCTTTAAATCTCACATTGAAATTATAGGCTAAAGTAAAAATTAAATTAAAGAGAAAAAACACTATATGAAGGGGAATTTCAATAGGTTGTGGAATTACCCTCACACCTACTATTGATACAAATGTTTTCCATTTCTAAAATAAACTGCAGAATCAGACGTCATTAATGTATGTATTAGTAATCATTAATGATTAAGCTAACGTAAAAAGTCATTAAATAGTTGACCGCATTTGAACATTTTTAAATTTTAATCTTTTTAAAAGTGCTTGGATACGTTAGTAAGCATCAAGAGTGATGCAGACAAAATAAAATTCAAGTGATCCATCCACGGAAAAAAAAATCTGAAAGAAACACTGTCTTTGTGAGAGACGTTTATCGGCGAGGCGAGATTAGGAAACGGGTCTAATTATAGAAGTGGGCTCTACCTTTAGTCTGTTTGATCTACAAATGTGACCAGTGTTTCTTTCAAAATGCTCGGTGGTAGCGTGGCATACACTGGTAAAAGTGTAATTTCCAAATCTATATATATATATATATAATTCTCTTTTGGGAGCCGTTAGAAAACAAGCTGCAACCTCGCCTTACAGTCCCCTCTCTTCCTCTCTATCGCAACCACCCCCCACCCCCTCACATGGTGTGGTTCACGCTGTTTACATTTTACAATCATAGAGACGGGTTTGGTGACGGCTATTAGGGGCAGATAATATAGTTTGAAACGATTTTAAACTTAGAGGAGGTAATTAAGAGGAGGCTGCTTTCACGTGTGTGTGTGTGTGTGGGGGGGGGGGGGGGGGGTTAGTGTTTTAAAGAAATAATTTCAGTGTCAGCGTTGGTACTGTCGAATTCACAAATTATGAATTACTAAAAAGTAGAAAAAATAACTAAATAGCGGCGTATGTTATGCCGCGGGCCGGCTCGTATATATAATTCTCTTCTGGGAGACGCTAGAAAACAAGCTGTAAACGCGCTCCCTACCATCCCCACCCCTACATGGTGTTAGTGAGCTGTGGTTCACGCTATGTTTACCTTCGTGGAGCCGGGTTTAGTGACGGCTATTAGGGGCAGATAATTTAGTTTGAAACGATTTTAAACGTTGGGGGGGGGGGGGGGGGGGGAGGAAGGGGGGGTTATGTTCCTTAACGAGCTACTTATAGTGTTTTAAAGAAATATTTTCAGTGTCAGCATTGGTACTGTCGAATTCACACATTATGATTTACTGATAAGTGCAAAAAACAACAACTAAATAGCGGCGTATGTTATGCCGCGGGCCGGCTCGTACATTATATTTCACAATAGGAGACGGTTGACGTCTAAACCTCTGAGAGAATCTCTAATTGAGACTTTTGTCAAGTTAGAGCAAGTTTTTGAGATATGACTATGTGTAGATCAAGGTTAAATCCGGTTAAAATGCAGATTCTGGATGAAAATCCGTTTTCAACAACATTTTTCATTTCCTGTTAAATTTGAAGTTGAAGTGGTTATTTTGGTTTTGGTTTAAAGAAAAAGACAACACTATCAACATAGTGCCTATTTCTCCCTCAACCGTTTAAAATAGTTATACAATAAACGAAGAAATCCTTTGCATATGTTTTAGATGGCCACAAATTTAGCTTTAAAATGCAAAAGAAGCACACACATTGATTTTTGAACAGGAGATTTTTTTTCTTTCTTCGCGGATAAAGAAAATATTTCAGACAATAATACAAACAAATTCCGATAGTTTTCAATTATTGTAATATTTTTATAAATTGTCTGCAGAATAGGCCTATAGTGAAATACATTTTTAAAATTCTAAATCTGAAAAGATTTTGATTTTTTTAATCCATTGTTATTTAAATACGTGTAAACAGTTGGTAGGCCTATTGTTTAAAAATCATATGTGTTTAACGAATTATATGTTTGGTGCAGAAACAATACTATCGAAATTTGTTGCTTCGCATCCAATAAATCTTTTTGTCTTAACATTAAATCAAAACAGTAGTTGGTTATTTAGTGATAAAAAAACTGCGAAATGAGAAAAATAGCAAAACGTAATTTTTAAAGCCGATTGTAAGTTTCCAAGATGACGGAAAATACGATTATCAAACACATGAGCAATTCAGCTTTCCAGTGATGTCAATTTACAATATGATGACTGATATAAAACAAACTTTTCGTAGAGAGTAAAACTTCGCTGTAGTAAATTAATTTTATATTCAATGTTTTGTTGATTAAATAGATGTCATTTATGAAGAGTGTATGACATCCATATTAAATTTGTGTTGTTCATTTTTACTAGTAAACTGTAAAAAAGTTATAATTATTTAAATCATAAAATCGGGAATTTTCTTTTAATATAAGACACACATCAAAAACCGTATACAACACATTTTCATACTATTTTGTAGAAAAGGCTCTTTTATAGTAATATACAGCTTAGCTGAAAGCTGCTGTCAAACAATATTAAACCAGTTAGCTTTTGACGCATATGTTTTAATCTTTTTTTTTGTATTTATACAAAAAAAACATCTTTTTTTCGATTCCAGAACTCCAACACGATAAAAGTCACCAAAAAGTGGGAAGCTTTTCGCTATTGGGAAGAACAAGAAAATCAAGATATTTTTTTTGATACAAACAAATATAAATTACTATTGAAAGTAGAGAGAAATGACAACTCGAATGACGATGAATTTTGTTGCAAGGCGGAATATTTTGACTCACAGGCGTTTTTAAAAAAAGCAAAAAGATGTGAGAATGTTACGGGTAAGTTAGGGATAATTCTTAAAAACACGTACACAGAATGTGTAGTTATTTGATTGTTTTAGATGAACCTTGCATTTGTCATTTTATTAAACATACAGTTGCACGAATACAGTGGAAATTTGAAAAGATATCATTTGATTGGATATACATTGATGACAAAAATTCAGACATGCAAACTCCTATCTCTGTCTCCCTCTCTCTCGCTGCTTTTTTTTCTTTCTCCCACCCACTCACTCTCTCTCTCTCTCTCTGTATATATATATATATATATATATATATATATATATATATATATATATATATATATATATATATATATATATATATATAGCAAAGTGGTCAGGTGCCCGATTGGGCACTTCCGCCCACATAGGCGCTTCAAATTTTGCATTGATCCTTCACGAATGCCGGTGCCGGTCGGCCGGAAAGTCCACGGAGAGAGGGTCAAAACTGATTTTGACTGACCGGTGCCTTATATGGGCTGTATTACGAAAAAAAACTTGACATTTTGTGAAGTGGTAGGAGAACACCTAGGGGTGACAGAAAAAAACTCGGCATATCCGGGAAAAAATCTAGAAATGGGTCAAAACTGACCAGTCGTATTTCCATATATAATCTTTGTTTTTCATATGAAAAACAGGAAAATTTCAACACAGTTTTAGGGTACTTATTCTCTGTACATTCGGCCAATTTTTGGCATGCTCCTAGGTAAATGGCAAAGCCGTATGGAAAAACTGTCCGTTCGACTTAACACAATCCGTCCCATGAGTCGGAGATTCCGGCTCGCGCCAGCTTCACCGTAGGCCCGCGAGCCGGAGTCTCCGGCTTTGCAACCCTAGTGTTTGTTTCATGCAAAAATTCAGTCCAATATTTAAACTAACTTATTCAAATCCATGTTTTTAAATACACGACATCCGGATCTTTCTTTCGGTTCAAAAATTTTGCACTGGGAGTGTTTCACGTGTGTTTTATTCAAGTTTAAACTTTGTGTTTACATTTTAAAATTCGTTATGGAATCAGGTCCCTCAGGCCAACGCCCACTCAAGCGATTTTGTGCTGAAAAAGCACGCGTTATGCTTGATGAGTGGATGAATAATTTAGATTCAGATGAAGAAACATCGGTTTTATCATCTGATGAAGATAATAATTATTCATCAAGCAGTGAGGGTGATAGATCTGGTAGTAGTGGTGATACTGATAGTGATTGTGATAACAACAAAAGTGGGTGTGGCAAACCTTCTGCAGGGAAGGGTAAGGGACCCATGCCTAAAAAAAGGAAAGCTGGTACTAATACTGCTAGTACTAATACTTTTGTAACAGGACAGGATGAGCCTGTAACTGTCAGTGGTACTGCTACTACCACTAGTAGTACTAATTTTATTTGGGCAGAAGTAGATAAAGGTACAACGCAAAACAACTTTCGTTTTGTTCGCCACGAATCCCATGGCGTAAACTCGGATAAAATAACACCCGAGTCAACGGAGCTAGATTGCCTGCTCCACGAGGGCTAAAAAGTGACCGCTAATGAAATTCTCTTTATACGAGCTTTATAACGAGAAAAAACTTTTGCCGAACGATGCCACTTGATATTTTGTCAGGTGGTAGAAGAACGCCTATGGGTGTCACAAAAAATTCGCCGCTTCCGGGAAAAATCTGGAAATGGGTCAAAACAGACCAGTCGTATTTCGAATTTAGCTATGTAAACTCCTATCCGTTTCCATCTCACTCGCTGCTTTCTCTTTCTCTCTCTCTCTCTCTCTCTCTCTCTGTCTCTGTCTCTCTCTCTTAATATATATATATATATATATATATATATATATATATATATATATATATATATATATATATATTTATATGTACATTCCTATCTCTGTCTCTCTCGCTGCTTTCTCTCTCTCTCTCTCTCTTTCTTTCTTTATATGTTTTCAATGTTTGTTTACCTTTAAAAATATAAAATTTGTTAAATTTCCTTGTTATCATCTGTACCAACAGTTGGTCAGAAAGCCATCCTTCATCCCAGTTTGGCCATGCCAGGAGAATCTGTTTCGGTATTCTGTAACGCTGACCTAGCAATGATTCCCGCAGAAGTGTCTGAATTAGAATCTATCAAGTTATCGTGGAAAAGCGATGAATCAAACGAAACGTGCCTTTACGCCATTTCAAGAGACCCTGAAAATAATACAGTAATGTATTTATGTTTTATGCTGGCTTATGTATTGCATTGTAAAAAAAATATAACTTGAACTATATGTTTTCTTCTTTACTCTTAAGCATTTAAATATCCATTTTGTGTAGTAAGCATTCTGTTTCGTCGAGCTTTGTATTTAAATCATTATAAATTATTAATTATGAGTCGAAATAGCTCAGTGGTGTTAATTAGTGTGTGCGTATAAACAGCTAAAATAACACTGTTTTAGGTATTTTACCCTAGGTCTGGTGATTATTTTACCTCTGTCATGGGTTTCGAACCTAAGAGGTCGATTTTTGTTTATAATATTTCTACCCAGAAAGAGCACAGAATGAAATGTCAAAGCACGAAAATGGATTTAAAGCATAGCTACTTTTGACATTGGGTTTAATAATTTATGTATCTATTATTCAGAGAAACCACTACACATTTATTATGTCTTTAATTCAGATTTGTTGTCAAAGTTTGATTTTCCATTAAGGAATACCCACATCAATTGGACGCATACACAATGGACGTGCTCCAGCCACTATCAATTACCGTATCTCCTGTGTTCTGTTAGCCTGTAATAACATCACGTTATTTATTTATTGTTATGTTAACAATTTTTTTTTAAATTTCTCAACCTCTAGAACATGTTAACTCAGATAAACAAGCGTAGTGGAAACCATACGTGGATATATATAAAAAGTGACCTACAACTAGCATCTAACATCGCTACACTAAACCGGTCTTCTTACATAGGGATCAATATCAGTGAGTTTCAACTCTCGGACTCTGGCTGGTTTTGTTGTGGTGCGGCCTACCTCACCGACCTTAATATGAAGAGGTACAACCAAGGATGTCATTATTTATCTGGTAAATTTTATAAGTGTTTCATCTTCTTCGTTCTTAACTTTTAGTGTTGGAAGGGATCCCTTCCAACACATTCAAGTATACGTGTCAAATGGTTATGCGCCATTGAGGTCATTAACTCCGATGTCAGCCTGCTTTTCGTTTTTGGATTTGCTTCAAGGCAGCAGTTGTTTGATTTTGGAGTGTTATCTCCGAGATAGCTGTCCCCAGCTAACGAGCCTCATCAGCCCAAGTAAAAGTGTTTAACTTCCAATTATAGTCAAACACACGTCTAACCTTGTTTTAATATTACACCACTTCTTACGAAATCTGGACTCCATGTCATTACGTTTAGACAAAAACACGTTTACTTATTTTAACATTAAACATCAAATTTTATGAAATCTAGACACACTCAGGTCTCCCTTAATTTAAATTTAGCATAACACTAAGAATTCATCAGCCGAAAATACTATAGCACACAAAAAGGCACAGTTGCACAAATAAATAGTTTCAATTATACGGTTCAATTGCTTCGATAGGCTTGAAAGTTCTGTATTCAAACTAATTTTGTTTCAAAAATGTTAAAAAAGCGATCAACATATAGTCACAATTTGAAAACTTAAAACTTTTTGGAAACCATCGATTACACTCATTTTCATATTTTTGTATTGAATATAGTAGTTGAGAATTATCTTATCAATTCAAATATGTAAAAGAAAACGAGAATAGAACCACGCCGGGTTTCTGAAAATGCATCCACCTATCTTAAAGTTATAGACTTTTGAAAAACCGGGGTTGGCGTGGTCAAGTCGGTAAAGCTCATGGTTGCTAAACCGAAAAGTCTCGAGTTTGAACCCTCAGGCAGATGAGGCTCGTTAGCTGGGGACAGCCACTCTTCTAGGAGAGACAACTCAAACATCTAACAACTGCTGACTTGTAGTTTGTTCTTGGTTGGACAAAGGTTATGGAAGCAAATCCAAAAAGAAAAGCAGGCTGAAATCGGAGTCAATGGCCTCAATGGCGCATAACAAGTTGACACGTATCCTTAATTGTGATGGAGGCGTGGTCGATACGGCTAAAGCTCATGATTGATAAATTAGAAAAAAGTCTCGAGTTCGATCCTTGTGGTAGATAAGGCTCGATCCCTTCCAAGAAGAAGGAGAAAAACCGGCGTTTGATTATGTACCACTTCCGCTTACCGGGAATAGGCAAGAAATCAATTTAAAAAATACACAACCATTCGAGATATTACTTACAAAAGGAATTTCTTCAAACCAAATTAAACGAATAAATTACAAAAGTAAGATTGTCCGGATCCTAAAAGATGTAAAACGTCAAAAACTGTAAGTAAAATCGCCATATAGATTTTTTTGTTACGATTACAATGCATCCATTATATTCGTATACGAGACGGTAAGGAGATGTTACTTATTCAGCACAATCATCATATTCCGCAATTGTGTGTACAGAAAATATTGTCGTGGATCCTGAAGGTTGTAAAACTTGAGAGGTTTGATATTTCACCAAAATCGCATAGTACTTTGTGCACAATTATAATGCTATCGCTATTTTTTGGGTCTTGAGAATACCACTTTTTTTGTTAACTTTGCATACATAGGCAGGTTTAGTAAAAACTACATTAGTTAAGCGTGACACTTCTTTTCAAAAATGTTTTTTTTTTCTCTTACAGCTAATGGGACCACACTTAGACTGCCGCCTTCTCGAAACTATACTGTTGCAGAGTATGTGGGTTTTGGTTTATTATTGTGTATTATGGCGTTGGCCTATCATTACCTTCTTTAACAGTAAGTTTATTTTTATTTTATTTTAAGGCAATAGACTTTTCTTTTATTAATTATTTTAATAATACTATAAATCTATACCCGTTACTGTATTGTTTTACTGTATACAAGAATGTATTAAAAATGAATAACAGTTTAAAATTTATTAACCGTTTGATAATGCACTTGCAGAATACACACGTATAGAATGTAGGGATACTACTATTTACTAATCTCTTTTTAAAAGAGATGTGGTGGTAGTGCGGTAGAGCACTCAATTACTATCCCGAATGTCAATGTTCAATTAGTGAAAATACTATAACTTCAAATACAATCTTTTTAATGATCTTCTTCCTTTAAGACTATTCTCGCTCATGTATATTAGATATTTTACTTAAATATGAAAATTTGTCTATCTATTAGAAACAGTAGGCGTACGCAAGTTGTAGGCTTTTGAGAAACCGAAAGTAGAATAAGTTCCACTTACTTTGTAAGGATTGTCGATCAACCTCTTAATTTACATTGTCTTTCCTTTTTCACGGACTCCAAAATTCACTATTTTTCTTTATTTCATTTTTTAGATTTATTTATTTAATTTGTGTTGATTTTAGAAATGTTTCACCCTCCTTTAATGGGTAACGATGTTTCTTACTAAATTTGACCTCTTACCCAAGATTGATAACGCTAACAATTTTCTCGAAAGAACACACCATGTTGAACCCTAAGCTTGTACCTCTGGATAACAGCTAGTATCTACGCAGACTGAAGCACGAAGCAAGCAAAATCCGCAATTCCTCGGAATTCTTAAAATGGAAATAAAATGAAAAACTAAATTTTTCTAAAGAAAATTGGCTGAAAATAAAAAAAAAGTTTTCATGAATGTATCTAAAAATTATCTAGTACCTTGATAAATGTTATCTAAGTTCAAGGAACATAACATATTTGAATTCAAAAAGAAATATTTTCTTAAAATATTGAATTTTGTTTATTGAAATTCGAAAACAAATTTTTTATTACTTTTTACAAACTCAATTGAATCGTTCAATACTTGTTTATGGTTTCATTAATTATTTATTTAACAAAGACATCTCCATTTGAAGTAACTAATTTACAATTTGTATTAGATCATTTCTATTTATAGTTACTGGTAGGTATCGCAGTGTTATGTATTAATAATTGTTCTTCATCAGTGCAAAATGTATTTGTATTTCTGTTGGTCTGTTAAAAGAATATTTTGATTAAAAATAAAAATGCCAGATGTATTTTTTTTGGAATTATATATTAACAGACATACTATTAAGGTATAATCTAAAATATGTATATTATACCATAAGTGATAGATCCTTGTACTCTTCGATTTTTTATACTTGTACACCCAATTCCTATCTAAAATTTACACAAATTAAAAAAAGAAAACAATTTGTTTTTGTTATTTACTCTCTTGTTATTTACTCTCTTATTGTTCAGATTTTCAAAGCAATGTTAAGTTTTTAGCGCAATTTCCATTTTGGAGAATTGCGTTTATTAACGCGTCATTTCTGGATGGATGGATGGATGGATGAATGTATGGATGAATGTGTGTCCGGGCTTTAAGTCGTATCTCCTCCTCAACGAAGCAATATCGATGACTAGTTTCAAAGCAATTATGTTAAACAAGTTACAAGAATGAGCATAGGCCATAAAAATTCCGGGTTTCTTTCATGTATTTCCCGGAAAAGCCAAAAAACCTCGAAAAAAAGCAGTTTTTGGCCCATATCTCGTCAACCAGACCACTTAGCGACTTGAAACATGTACCAATCGATTCCTGCCATAATTTAGAGCAATATTGCCGAAGAAAGTTTTCAAAAATATCCTCTCGTTTGGTCACAAATTTTAAAATTACAAAAACACCTACAAACCGATTGTTCTTCTAGCTTGAACGCATCCCAGCATTATACGTCAGAGCTATTTTTAGATAACATAAGGAAATTGCGCATAAATGTCACTAGACTTTTTTAATTAACTTGTTTTTTATAATATGTTTATTTTTGTTTAATAAAATGAAACATATCGTTTGATAAAGAAGTATTCGAAGTGTGTCATTAATTATTCTTTTAATAAATGTATTATTTTGTTGTAATGATGCTTTAAAAAAAAAAGTAAAAAAGCTGCACGTGCCGAATATATAATATTAACGTGATTAATGTGTTGAAAGGGTGTTATTTACTGTTTAGTTTTCTACATATACATTTGAAGAGAATGTAAAACAATAAACTTAAACGATATGCTTTTGATAGTTATATATCACCGCTGTGATTCATATGACATAACCGAGAACTAAGAAGAAGAAGTAAAATGGAGATCTTGGGGGAAGTAAACCTGTGGTACTAGACCAGTAATGTTCCCTGTTCGAACCTGACGGGACATAGGGCAAGTGAAGTAGAGTCCACCAGTTTCTGCGACCTCAGCGTATGAAGAAGTAGTGTAGTTAGCAATATGCCCAAAAAATAGCTTTTTCCTTACGTGCACCAGGTATCAATAAGAGCTGGGTGTACTCATTGATGATCTACTGACTTGAACCCGGCTTCAAACCCGAGACTTTCGGGTTAGTAGTCTAGCGATTTACAACTCAACTGGTAAAGATCCTAAAACCAAATATTATACAAAGCCTACATCCGGTACAAACACGAAATTATTTTTTTTTAAATCTGATATTTGAAAGCACATTCACCGAACAGGAACTATTAAAGTAAAACTGAAAACAACTATACTATACAAAGCCTACATCCGGTACAAAACACGCAATTTGTTTTTTCAAATCTGATATTTGAAAGTGCATTCACCGAACAGGAACTATTAAAGTGAAACTGAAAACAACTATATTATACAAAACCTACATCCGGTACAAAACAAGATTTTTTTTTTCAAATCTGATATTTGAAAGTGCATTCACCGAACATGAACTATTAAAGTGAAACTGGTAACAACTATATTTATCTAGTTAAGCGAATGTATGTTTTTTTTTAATATCCGCATCTTGGATGAGTCAACCAGTCATGACACTGGCGCCTTGTTGCTCTAGTGGGCGACGTGTTGTCACTTTACCGCCCACTTAAACAGTTAAAAGTCCGCTGTTTAAAGTCTATCACAAGTGTAATCTTTATTTCAAGTGTTAACCTCAAGGATGACATTTTAGTTTTAAAATAAAATCGTACATTTAAAATCGGATTTATTAAAAAATCATGTCCAATTACATTATTATCTAGTCTTGACACATGTTACGATTGGAAGAATTCGGATCCGTAGGAAAGGTGGTATTTGTGCTAGTATGTATCAATTAATGACGGACGAAGCACAAACAAAACAAGTTACGTAAATACTTGTAAACAGTTTGTTTAACTGTATCTATACACTAGATAAATTAATAACCACATACATTATATATATATATATATATATATATATATATATATATATAAAATAAATAAATAAATAAATATATATATATATATATATATATATATATATATATATATATATATATATATATATATGAAAGCACTATGTGATTTCTCTCTATATTTATATATGTAGATCTAACACTCAATCTTTAGCAGGGCTGGATAATTGTGTCAATTAGTAGTTTTAAAACAAAAGAAGTGCATTGTATCGTTGTTGCTTCATATCTCGACACCACTGAGTACCGTGAGCGTAGACATTAGTCGCCATCTCAAATGCACCACTTGGTACTGATGTGATGATATCCCATTGCCACTTCTATATGTGGTAACATTGCACACTCCACATTTTTGTCTATAGCTACAGTTCTCACGGTATTTTTTTTGTATCTGTAAAGCGGATACGATGTTGGCTATCATGTCAGTTGATACGACATTAAGTATTAAAAAATGTATGAAGTTATCTATTACTTACTTCTTAAGTTACTTTATATATATATATATATATATATATATATATATATATATATATATATATATATATATATATATATATATGTGTGTGTATATGTATATATATATATATGTGTATATATACATATATATATATATATATATATATATATATATATATATATATATATATATATATATATATATATATGTGTGTGTATGTATATATATATATATATATATATATATATATATATATATATATATATATGCATCTCTATACATTTCTTTAAATCACACAGTTTACGGTAAATTAGGTCTTAAATTTTATTCAGAAATAACTCACCTAAATTTTCTCGAATATTCTTATATAACACTACGGGGGATGGCAACTCGGGATATAGACACTATTTTGAAACCATTTTTAATTACTTAAACTTTTTAAAATTTGAGAGAAGGCCGATAATTATATCGTTTACTTACATGTGAAATTTTATTTATCCGTCTGCAATTTTGATAACTATAAAGAAAAGCGTGGGTCGCCTCAATACATTTCAGCAATTAATAGATTGAAAAAAGTGCACCATGCTTTTCTTTACATTTATTTCAATATTAGTATATAATTATTTACTTAATGAAAACATTTTTTTCTCCCTTCAATGCATAATTGAAAAAAAAAAGCTTGTTATTAAAATAATTTTAATTGTATTTTTTCAGTACTTTAAAATGTTTAATGCAATAAAGCTGCATGGCTAAAAACTATCCAATGAGCGCCGTAGCGCTTCAACAGCTTGATAAACTATGGGGCATAATAGTCGTTAAATAAACTAAGGCTCGTTCGTCGACGCCCCGGTAAGGTACAATGCGGCACCTAGGTGCCTCTGTTAATTTTAAGGAGCACCCTAAAATATTGACACGGTGGAACACAAAATTCGATGAATAAATTGAACCAAGGACCGCATGCTGCGCCCCCCCCCCCCCCTGGTAGTGTATTAGGTTGCAGAGACGTAGAGAGGGAGGGGGGTGCGGACCGCACCGGGTGTCACCATTTAGCGGGGTGACGCCGAGAACATAAATAGCAAAATATACAGAGAAAAATTATAGGGGTGAGTGTAAATCGAAAGTTTAAGGGGGAAGGGGTACAAATGGAAAGTTTGATGGGTAGGGGGGTGCAAATCGGAAATTGAAAGTTTGTCCACGGGAAGGGTCGCTACGCCTCTGGGCGGTGACACCATTAAGCGTCGCACCGGGTGTAACCCGATCTCGCTGCGCCACTGTTCGGTTACTCCCGTGAGCGCACTTCTGCGTGGCGGCTGAAGTGTGTTCTACCTCACTATTACGGTGAATTATTAACGCACACTTAATGCTTTCATACAGCACGCCATGGTAAGTGATGGGCGATGTGATGTTAAACACATGCCCCGATACATATGATCCAAGCGCAGGCTTTGTTTTAAATTAAATCCGTTTTAGAAGAAAACGGGCAAGCGTATATATATATATATATATATATATATATATATATATATATATATATATATATATATATATATATATATATATATATATATATATACATATATGCAATATATATACTTATACATTTTTATTGTATAGAGATTACTTAATAGCAAGTAATGTAACACATTAATCAACAAGAGATGCTATATATGTTTTATAATATTATTTAGAAATAATGCATTTGAATATATATATATATTTATATATATATATATATATATATATATATATATATATATATATATATATATATATATATATATATATATATATATATATATATATATCAATATATATATATATATATATATATATATATATATATATATAAAATTAAACCAACACGTTTTAATGATGTAATTTGATGTTTTTTAATAACATATAGCTGATATGCGATTTTCTTTAATGCAGCATTAAGCTTGAATGTAATTTGCAGTTTAAAAAGATGTGTTACGGGAAGATTGTCGTACTTATAGTGTGTAGCAAACCTTTTTGTTTTATTTTATGATTTTAATGTGGGAAACCACTAGTCTTTCAAGTTACTTTTTAAATCGTAGTTTCAGCAGCTATTATTTAATGCACGTTATCATGAAATCTATTTTAATTAGGCTTTTAGCTGACCTCGTTTCAGATCCGGTTTCGCTTATAAAATACAAAGCATACTGACAAATTACGTTTCTTTCAATTTACTTTGCTGAGAGTTATAGTGTTTGTGGTACTATGGAATAAATAATAACATCTTTGTTTAGCTCATTAAACTTTAATCTAAATGTGAGTAGTTTGATTTTGATAACACTACTTTTATGGAGTATTGAAATTGAATTCACATTTCAACAGACGTAAGCATAAAATCTTGCTAAATATATTTTACATACGAAATTCAAAATTATTAAAAAATGTTAATGTTGGTTGATATTATAGATTATGCAGTGTTAAAGTACTTAAACTATTTCCACCTGTTTATATAGGTTAGTGCGGTAAAAAATATCACACGTTTATAAAAGCTGCATTGGTAAAGATAATGTCCTTCCATTAGGTAACCTGCTTTCAAGTGACATAGAAGCTCACTACAACAACGCTAAGGAGCATGGGAATCTTAATTTATTTGATGTGCAGTCTATGGATCACGGCCACTTATCAAAGGGACATAAATATCTACAGTTAGAACATTTTCTGTCTATATACACTTGTATATATATATATATATGCAGCTAGTATATATATATATATATATATATATATATATATATATATATATATATATATATATATATATATATGTGTGTGTGTGTGTGTGTTTGTATGCTTTTTATATATTTTCTTATATTACCTAGTAAATGTAATAATAAAATGAATTACAAGTATTTTCACACATACACTGTAGCACAGACACAGATCGTTATATATATATATATATATATATATATATATATATATATATATATATATATATATATATATATATATATATATGCATACTGTATGTTTATGAATAAATAGTGTCTTGCGGTAAGTTCTAATGGAAGTTCATTTTTACAAATTACTAGTCAGAATATCTGTAAATTCCATCTTCGACACAGGTAACACGAATAATCGAATCTATAAACTTTATAGAATAAAGTATTTTGATATTTCTGACTATGTCCCAGGCATTTGAATCACCAACACACGTCTTACGTAATCGAGCGCATTTTTATCATCCACACGTCTCACTGTTTTCACCAAGATGTTTGTCTTACATTTCAGTCCATTCAAAAATTATCAAGCTCACTTCTTCCGATCTGTAAAAAAGCAACTAATTCCTATACCGTTGAAATTCCTCATTTTATTCAAATAATGTGTTATATAAAAATCGGGGTAGGCCTAATAAACAATTTATTTATATCAACTTGAATAGGCCTACATGCACATAAGCTTTCACAACGAGACCATATGGCCAAGAGATAAAGTGTTCGAAAGCTAGCCCGATTTTCTTGATTTCGGATAAATGTTCGGATTGCGAAAACGTTCAGGTGTCCATTCAACTCTGTTCTTACCCCACTTTCTTCATCTGCAATACGAATCATTTATTCTGAAATTGGAGATTGATAAGAGGCCTTCAAACGTTAATGTATATGTTATTTATTCATTTCATAAACTCAACCCTGTTCAAAATATGCGTTATTTAACCGTGTTCTTTTTCTTCTTCTTCGTTCTTAATTTTTAGTGTTGGAAGAAATCGAGCCTTATCTGCCCGAGGGTTTGAACTCGAGACTTTTTTTTTCGAATTTATCTACCATGAGTTTTTGTTGCCGACTCGACTACGCCTTAACTGGTTATGCGCCATTGAGGCCATTGACTCCGATTTCAGCCTGCTTTTCTTTTTGGATTTGCTACCATAGGCAGCACTTGTCTGATTTTGGAGTTGTCTCTCCTAGAAGAGTGGCTGTCCCCAGCTAACGAGCCTCATCTGCCCGAACTCGAGACTTTTCGGTTTAGCAACCATGAGCTTTACCGACTCGACCACGCCGACCCCATTTAATCGTCGAATAGACTGAACGTTTGCGAACAATTTGTCTGCATTTCCTACTTGTTTATTTTTAGTGTGCCAAGGGTATGGTTGGTTACATTATGCTGGACAGTGCTACAACCTACAAATGACAGTAAAAAAATCATGGGAAGAAGCACAAACATTTTGTTCTAATATTGGCGCCAACCTCGTCAGTCTTACATCCAGAGATGAAGTTGACTTCTTAAACGAACAGGTATTTGAGTTTTGATTACTTATTAACTTGTGGAACTTTTTGAAGCCTAATAATTGGTTTCAATATTTATTAGTTAAGTTTGACTTCAGTTATTTGACGCAGACACGTGCGACGTTTGCCAATGCGGTTTTTCATGTCATGCTAAATTTAGAATCTTATAATTTTAAGTAAGTTCATTATAATGAAATAAAAAAAAAATGTCAATCATTAAATAATGTGAAATTATTATTTTCAGGGTATAGAAAATGTATGGATTGGTTTATATAAAACTGGGACGAATGAAACATGGAAGTATGTTGCACTTGTGTATAACTTGAATACATTTTAAGTGTTGTTATTTAACTTAGAAGATACGTTTACGTACATACGCTGAATGAACAATGATTATAGTGTATACATCTTGATGTTTAAGTGTACCAGTCAACTAAATCCCTGCTTTTTGGTACTTCAGGTGGGTTGATAAATCAGACGTGAATCTCAAACTATGGGACGTTGGTCAGCCTGGAAGTATTGAAGAAGACTGTGGAGTCGCTTATTCATTTGGTTGAGTATTTGTTATTCATCTTTACTTACAATCAATCAATCAATCTATCTATCTTTCAATCAAAAATCTGTTAATCAAGATATTACTTTGTTTATCACACACAAAAACGAATAAAATAACTCGCATTCAAGCCTTATTAAAACTTCAACATTTCAGACAAGTGGCATGATTACCCCTGCTTCCATCGTAAATCATTTGTGTGCAAGAAGGCGGCCAGAGCAATTCCTCTTATCCTGTGGAAGAAATATCTCAGTCCTGCGGCTACAAACACGAGGGCTGTGACGACACCACGAAGTGAACTGGCAACTACAACTAAGACATCAACCGCAACACTACCAAGTCCAACAACTACCACTAAGACAGCAATCGCAACTCTACCCAGACCAACTACTACCACTAAGACATCAACCGCAACACTACCCAGTCCGACAACTACCACTAAGACATCAATCGCAACTCTACCCAATCCAACAACTACTATTAAGACGTCAATCGCAACACTACGAAGTCCAGCATACACAAGCATAAGTCAATCAGGTATAACATTATTCCTTACAAAAACATTCAGTACAACACGTACTAGTGAAGATCGATAACTAAGCTATTCAATAATAACCATCAAATTCCAATTCCGATGCTGTTACTTCGAATAGTAGAAGTTATACATTGATTTGATATCCATGGTTGTACCCCAAGCTTCTCAAATCACGAAACAACGTATGTAATAGCGCAAAATCACTCGTCAAAATGTCACACCAAGTTTAATTAGTACTTTTTACGTATCAGTCGTTTCACAAATTATATCATGCACTTTTCTTCGATCGGTTAAAAAAAAATAAAACAAACAAAAAAAACCATTCCTGTACCGTCGACGCTTTGCATTTGATTGAAAAAAATATGAAATCTAAAAGTAGTTTGTATTGAACTTTACCACACAATTTATTTATATAAGCTTATGTATATAGGTAGGCCTATATGCTGTCAAAACTGAGCTGTCTGTCAAAAGAGATAAAACAATCGATAGCTAGCACGTAGGTCTCTAGTTCGGATCACTGTTCGGTCAGTGACTGTACATATTCCACAAGTCCACCCAGCTCTACTTGGTACCTGACTCACGCTAGGAATTGCAAAAACGACTTGGTATAGATTTAACATTCATTACCTTTCTATGCGAGGTCAGGAAACATCTAAACTCTACTCCGTCTGATCGTATGGATCATATATATATATATATATATATATATATATATATATATATATATATATATATATATATATATATATATATATATATATATATATATATGTTCCAAAACATGAACTTTGCTTTATAGGCCTCCAAACGTTACTGCACGTTATTTATTAATTATGTAGATTCAATCTATTAAACATATGAATCACCTTAACGAACTGCAATCATATCTTCAAATGGATTGTGTTTATATATATATATATATATATATATATATATATATATATATATATATATATATCTGCAATTATTAATTCTTTATTCTCAGAATGCCCAGGGTCAGATTGGTTAAAATATGGCGGAAAGTGCTACAATCTACAAAATTCTACTAAAACATGGCAAGAAGCACAAACATTTTGTTCTAATTTTGACGCCAACCTTGTCAGTCTCACTTCGAAAGATGAAATAGCTTTCTTAAATAAACAAGTAATTGAGTTTTGATTTTTTAAATTGTTTGTTACATGCGTTAGCGTGTTCATTGTTATCAAAATATTCATAGTTAAGTTTCACTCCAGCTAGTTAACTCCTAAAATAGAGTCGTAATGTTATGTTTGTATTTAATTTTCAGGGCATAAAATATGTGTGGATTGGTTTACACAAATCTGGGACGAACGATACCTGGAAGTATGATGCACTTTTTTATCTTCCTAAATAAATATATTAGTTCTTAATTTAAATGCAATTGTATCGATTGTTTAATATATACAATATAAGTTGCATAAACAATGATTATTGTGTATACATCTTGATGATTAAGTGTACCAGTCAACTAAATCCCTGCTGTTTGGTGCTTCAGGTGGGTTGATAAGTCAGACGTGAATCTCAAACTATGGGACGTTGGACAGCCTGGTAGTATTGGAGAAGACTGTGGAGTCGCTTATTCATTTGGTTGAGTATTTGTTATTCATCGTTACTTACAATCAATCAATCAATCTATCTATCTTTCAATCCATTAATCAAGGTAGTACTTGTACATTTAATAACTCAAAAAATTAATGAAATAACTCGAATCAAAGCCGTATTGAAATTTCAATATTTCAGACAAGTGGCATGATTACCCCTGCTTCCATCGTAAATCATTTGTGTGCAAGAAGGCGGCCGTAGCACTTCCTATTATCCGCTGGAAGACATCTCTGAGTCCTGCAACTACAAACACGAGGGCGTTGACAGAACCACGAAGTGAACTAGCAACTGCAACTAAGACATCAACCGCAACACTACCCAGTCCAATGACGACCACTAAGACATCAATCGCAACACTACCAAGTCCAGAATATACAAGCATAAGTCAATCAGGTATTACACTATTCCTTGCAAAAACATTCAGTACAAAACGTACTAGTGAAGATCTATAACCAAGCTATTTAATAATAACCATCCAATTCCATTACCGATGCTGTTATATTATCAATTATTAATTGTTTATTCTCAGAATGCCCAGGGTTAGACTGGTTAAAATATGGCGGAAAGTGCTACAACCTACACACTTCTAATAAAACATGGCTAGAAGCACAAACGTTTTGTTCTAATTTTGACGCCAACCTTGTCAGTCTCACTTCGAAAGATGAAATTGATTTCCTAAATAAACAAGTAATGGAGTTTTGATTTTTTTTATTTGTGTATTACATTTGGTAGTGTGATCATTGTTATTATTATGTTCATGTTTATGTTTGACTTCAGCTAGTTATTTCCTAAAATAGAGTTGTAATGTTATGTTTGTATTTAATTTTCAGGGCATAAAATATGTGTGGATTGGTTTACACAAATCTGGGACGAACGATACGTGGAAGTATGATGCAATTTTTTATCTTCCTAAATAAATATATTAGTTCTCAATTTAAATTTAATTGTATCGATTGTTTTAAAAGTAAAGTTACTCTTTCAAACTTGACTGTATATGAGGCAAGGGAAGTAGAGTTCACTTGTTTCTGTGACCTCGGTATATGAAGAGATAGTGTGGTCAGCACTAAGTCCATCCGCCTTTACTTTCCCTAACGTGAGTTAGGTACACATCAGAGCTGGGTGGACTCAGGGACGATCTGCTGACTTTAACCGGGGTGGCAGTCCAGATCTCTATCGCTAGACCACTCCGTCCCTTATCGATTGTTTTACGTATACAATATAAGTTGAATGAACAATGATTATTGTGTATACATCTTGATGATTAAGTGTACCGGTCAACTAAATCCCTGCTGTTTGGTGCTTCAGGTGGGTAGATAAGTCAGACGTGAATCTCAAACTATGGGACGTTGGTCAGCCTGGAAGTATTGGAGAAGATTGTGGAGTCGCTTATTCATTTGGTTGAGTATTTGTTATTCATCAGTACTTACAATCAATCAATCAATCAATCTATCAATCAATCTTATAATCAAGTTAGTACTTATACACTTAATAACACTAAAATTAATAAAATAACTCGCATTCAAGCCTTATTAAAACTTGAATATTTCAGACAAGTGGCATGATTACCCCTGCTTTCATCGTAAATCATTTGTGTGCAAGAAGACGGCCACAACAAATCATATTGTCCAGTCTACGACATATATGAGTCGTGTAACTACAAACACGAGGGCTGTGACAGCACCACGAAGTGAACTACCAACTTCAACAAAAACATCAACCGCAACACTACCCAGTCCGACAACTACCACTAAGACATCAGTCGCAACTCTACCCAGTCCAACAACTACCACCAAGACATCAAAAGCAACACTACCAAGTCCAGCATATACAAGCATAAGTCAATCAGGTATAACATTATTCCTTTCAAAAATATTCAGTACAACACGTACTAGTGAAGATCTATAACCGAGCTATTTAATAATAACCATCCAATGCCATTACCGATGCTGTTATTATTATTAATTGTTTATTCTCAGAATGCCCAGGGTTAGACTGGTTAAAATATGGCGGAAAGTGCTACAACCTACAAACTTCTAATAAAACATGGCAAGAAGCACAAACATTTTGTTCTAATTTTAACGCCAACCTTGTCAGTCTCACTTCGAAAGATGAAATTGATTTCTTAAATAAACAAGTAATTGAGTTTTGATTTTTTTTTTAATTGTGTAACATTTGGTAGCGTGCTTATTGTTATCAAAATGTTCATGGTTATGTTTCACTCCAGCTATTTAACTCGTAAAATAGAGTCGAAATGCTATATTTGTATATAATTTTCAGGGCATAAAATATGTGTGGATTGGTTTACACAAATCTGGGACGAACGATACGTGGAAGTATGATGCACTTTTTTATCTTTTTGGATAAATATATTAGTATTTTTATTCAATGGTATCGATTATTAAACGTATACAAGTTGAATGAACAATGATTATTGAGTATACATCTTGATGATTAAGTGTACCGGTCAACTAAATCCCTGCTGTTTGGTGCTTCAGGTGGGTTGATAAGTCAGACGTGAATCTCAAACTATGGGACGTTGGACAGCCTGGAAGTATTGGAGAAGACTGTGGAGTCGCTTATTCATTTGGTTGAGTATTTTTTATTCATCTTTGCTTTCAGTCTATCCATTCACCAATCCATCAAATGAAAAGCTAATAAGTTAAGTACCGTTCAAAACATGTTGACGAATGTTCACATATAAGTATCACATCGTATGCTTCTAATTTCTTTTAAATTTTGAAACAATTTCTGAAAAAAACGAAAGTCGTTATTTATTTTTTTATTTCAAGAACCGCGCGTTAAATTGAGTACAAACTCAGTTAAGAAGAAGAACTATTATATTTAAGTGTAAGATTGCTTTACTTGATTGCCTTTATTTCATGACTGACCTCCAATAACTGCAAGCAGTATTTTCTCTCTGATTTCTAAAAAATAAAACGATTTTCGACTCGGTTCTATTCTATTTGTAGAATGTAAGTAAAATAAAATCTAATTTAAAAAAAATCCAAAATCGGTCGGACTAGAAGTGCCGTCTACATTACTGTTGTATAATTAAGTATTTAAAATGCAGGGGAGATTAATCCAACTTTATTTATGCACATATTTAGTTGGTTAATTTACACATTTTAAAGTAAAGTGAACAAAGAGGTGTTATGGGTCAGTTGTAGCTTAGATAGAGATAGGTTAGAATAAACTAGAATTAGGGGAGAGAGCGTGTGTGAGTTGAGTTTACCCTAGAGTGTTGTTTACCCTGGTGTGTTTATGTATTGTTATCCCAAGGCTGAATGCGGTATAAAAGTTGGAGTGAATGGTTGTCAGGGTAAGTTTGTTGCGGTTAGGGCGAGGGCAACCCTGTAACCTTGAAAGTGAAACTAAATAAAAGTATACTATATGAGTCACAAATAGTTGTTGAGTTGAATCGAACCCGGGCTTAACAAGAGGGGTTAAAACTACACAAAAGTTCAATGCTTCGAAAATTAATGATTTTAAATTTTAAATTTTTTCTCTAGTGTCAAATAAAATAAACGTGAAGGTATTCTTATTTCATACTTTAATATTTAAAAATCAGAAAATGATTAACATAAATCGAATTAAAATCTTATTAACATTGAACATTTCAGACAAGTGGCATGATTACCCCTGCTTTCATCGTAAATCATTTGTGTGCAAGAAGACGGCCACAACAAATCCTATTGTCCGGTCTACGACATCTCTTAGTTCTGCAACTACAAACACGAGAACTGTGACAACACCACGAAGTGAACTAGAAACTACAACTAAGACATCAATCGCAACACTACCCAGTCCAACAACTACCATAAAGACAACAACAGCAACAAAACCAAGTACAGTAACTACTACTAAGACATCAATTGCAGCACAACCAAGGACAACAACTACTACTAAGACATCAACCTCAACAAAACCAAGTACAGCAACTACTACTAAGACAACAACCTCAATACTACCAAGTACAGCTACTACAATTAAGTCATCAACCTCAAAACTACCAAGTACAGCAACTACTACTAAGACATCAACCTCAATACTACCAAGTACAGCTACTACCATTAAATCATCAACCTCAACACTACCAAGTACAGCAACGACTACTAAGATATCAATCGCAGCACTACCAAGTACAACAACTACCACTAAGACATCAATTGCAGCACAACCAAGTACAGCAACTAATACTAAGACATCAACCTCAACACTAACAAGTACAGCAACTACCATTAAGTCATCAATTGCAGCACAACCAAATACAGCAACTACTACTAAGACATCAACCTCAACACTACCAAGTACAGCAACTACCATTAAGTCATCAACCTCAACACTATCAAGTACAACAACTACATCACCAAGACCAGCTACAAACATAAGCACTATGACAACACCATCCATTCAAGCAGGTATTATAATCTTCGTTACAGAAACGTTCAGTATCATAAGTAGTACCAAAGTTCGATAAACAAACTGGATATGAACAGTTAATAGCCAAATTTAGAATTTAAATATATTAAATATATGTATATATATACATATATATATATATATATATATATATATATATATATATATATATATATATATATATATATATATATATATATATATATATATATATATATGTATATATATATATATACATGCAAACATATATATATATATATATATATATATATATATATATATATATATATATATATATATATATATATATCTCATGAATACAAGTTTCTGAAAGCTTGTTAACACTATTGCCATGTTTAAATTACTAGCAGCTGATTTATGTCCAAGCGCGGATTGGGTTTATTTTGCTGGCAGCTGCTACTACTTCGACGCGACAGAAAGAACTTGGAGAAAATCTCAGAAAATTTGCTCAAGGTTTGGGGCGAACCTCGTCATCTTAGACTCACAAGAAGAGATTGATTTTCTTAACAGTAAGGTAAGCATAAGGGGTCACCCATTTATGTCATACACACATTGGGGGGGGGGGCGGTCTGAGAACAACTGAATTTTGCTGACGTGTGCGGATTTTTAATTTAGAATTAAGTGGACGTTTATGAACGGGGGTGGGGGGGGGGTCTAACATCCAAACAAAATTGTGGACGTCATAAATGGATGACCCCCTAACATTTCGGTAACCTGGTTATTAGCAGTTTCAAACCATAGAAACATTTTATCGCTAGGTAACTCAGGCATGTGCTGATATTTTGCGTAATTTTTTAAAATTTTTTTTCGATTTAAACAAAAAAAAAACCCATACATTTTAATACATTTGTTAAATGATGCACTTAGCATTGTGTATTGCATTATGTCGTGGTAACTTACATACAAACGGTTGATAATAACCGGTTAACATACAATGTATATTTGTCCATTTCCAGGGTTTTGGTTATCTATGGATAGGTTTACATAAACCCAAGTTTAGCGATCGTTGGCAGTATGTATATATTTACATTTGTATTGTATTACATATATATATATATATATATATATATATATATATATATATATATATATATATATATATATATATATATATATATATATATATATCGTTGGCAGTATGTATATATTTACATTTTTATTTATTGTATTACATATATATATATATATATATATACATATATATATATATATATATATATATATATATATATATATATATATATATATATATATATATATATGTTATATAAATGTTATATATATATGTTATATATATGTTATATATATGTATATTTATATAATACATATAGTTAATTTAATATACATGATAAAATAACTGTGCAGTTAAGTCTGGTTTGTTTTGATTACAATGAAAGATCTCTATAGCCTCTATAATTACAGGTGGGTTGATCAGTCAGCGATGAAACTTGTCCGTTGGGATTTCGACCAGCCTGGGAGAACGGGCGAAGACTGTGGCGTAGCTTATTCATTTGGTAAAGTTACGGTTCTTGCTTTTAAATTCATTCTATTTCAATCTTTAAATTAATGGATTGAATAATACCAGAAAATAATTTTAACACAGTATAACTGTAAACTTCCCTTTTCGAACCTGATGATTAATAAGGGCAAGGGATGTAGATTCGAACTCGAGACTTCCGGGTTAGCAGTCTAGCTCTCTACCGTTAGGCCGCGCTGTCCCTATTGTAACTGTATTGTAGCATAATAAATATATAATCCTACTCTACCTATATTTTAAATTATTTTGTTGTAATTGAGTTCTGCTATAACTTGTCAATCTTTTGGTTTTTTTTAATTTATTTTTAAAGCAGTAATGACATGGTAGTGCCATATTTGTAAAACATACAACAATCTGTTTTTATTTATGTATATGGGATAGTATATTGGTTTGCCATATGCAAGACCGACACGTGTTTTTCTTTTACTGCTGAGTATATTGACCAAACTAAATATTCAGCAAGAACAACAAATAAAATAGCACAATTATTGCATCATATTGTGTGTGAATTACGCATATCTAGTTCTGTCAAAATCAATTTTGATTCCTAAATTAAACATGCATCTTTTTCTCCATGTATCAATTAAAGTGCGTTCAAAATACGAAAAGTTTATGTAAGAAGTACCATTTCTTTTAATGTATTGCTTAGTTAAATGTTCCTACCTGTATATGTTCTAAGCAATGAGACTTAGACTAAGATTATGTTTTATATTTGCCAGATCAATGTAACGATTATACTTGCCTAACGTTGTTACAATCCCATGTCTAAGCAATGAGACTTAGACTAAGATTTTTTTTGTTTTTTTATTTCCCAGATAAATGGCACGACTATTCCTGCCAGGCAGAGAAAAAAATGCTTTGCGAAAAAGTTGTCTCTGCAGTCCCTATTGAACAGATTCCAGATGTAGACGTTGGTGTTCCGACTAGCAATGACGTAGCTGGAACTACCAACAACCGTGGGTGTACAGTTTCATATACTTACAACATTTTTGTTTCAAATATTAACAAAAATTATTCATAGAATGTGTAGTATTTTTTTAAAGTATGTCATTTTATATAACTAATTCGTTTTTTTTCCTTAGTGCCATAGTATAAAATCAAGAACAGTATTTGCCAGTTTTTTTATTATCTTATTAAAATTGGTCTAAAAATATAAGCATAAGAAATGAAATCTAAATATCGTCATTAACGATTAATTAAGAGATGTGCAATGCCATTAAATAGTAACCTGAATAGTAAAAGAAGTTTCAATTGTCCCAAGTTTTTAAAACTCGTCCTTAGAAAAAAGTGTAAAGCTTTATAATTAAAGAACATTAATTAAGCGGTATGTATGTGAAAAGACTGATCAGAAGAAAGGGGCTGGTCAGCAAGTAAATATTTTTTCTTTCTGGTCTTAAGAATTCAGAAACAAATTTAAAATCTATACATAGCTGTTTTTTTTTTAACGTCAGAATATTACATTGTTATTTTTACCACTGATTTTACAAGCAGACTTATGCCCAAGCACGTATTGGTTTTACTTTGCTGGCAGCTGCTATTATAAGGACGAGAATAAGAGAACGTGGCAGGAATCTCAGGATATTTGCTCGAGTTTCAGGGCGGACCTCGTCATATTAAACACACAAGAAGAGATAAACTTTCTGAACCGTCAGGTAGCCTACATCTTTATTAAGAAACGAATTTTAAACCTAATCTCCGTATACTATGCGTGTTATTTTAAACATATTAGCATGCATAAAGATACGTTATAAACTTTACATTGATTATTCTGATGAGATGATTACATCTGGTTCGAATACAAACATTGTTTGTTTTTCTTAGGGTCTGAGTTATGTGTGGATAGGTTTATATTTACAGACATATAACGACTCATGGATGTAAGTGAATCTCACTCTCACTCTCTGTCTCTTTCTATCTATCTCTCTCTCTCTCTCTCTATCTATCTCTCTCTCTCTCTCTCTCTCTCTCTCTCTCTCTCTCTCTCTCTCTCTATATATATATATATATATATATATATATATATATATAATATAATATAATATATATATATTTTTTTTAATTCTTTAACATAATATATATATATTATATTAAATATTCATGCTTATAAATATATAAATAAATAAAATAAAATACACAACTAAATTAATAAATAAATACACACATAAATAAACAAATAAATAAATAAATAACTATATATATATATATATATATATATATATATATATATATATATATATATATATATATATATATATATATATATAAAGATAAGAATTAATTGAATTATCTTATAATTAGTTTTTGCTAGCTATTATTATAAAGTAAGGTTACAATAGAAGAATACAATCGTTTACCAGGTGGGTTGATAAGACTGCCATGAATCTCACACGATGGGACGTTGATCAGCCTGGTAGAAGTGGAGAAGATTGTGTTGTTGCTCACACGTTTGGTGAAGTTTTTGTTTGTTTTTTATTTGTATGTGTTGTTTTTTTTTTTTTTTTTGGAACGTTCGAGCTAAGTGATGCAAGAATCGAATTTAACATTTAACTCTATTCATAGCAAACGTTCATAAAAAACGGCTATATCAAAGCCTTTTGTGATAATATTTGTAAAAATGCAGTGAGCATTATGATTTGAATTTTTAAAAAAGACATTTTAACAGTTATAGCAAAACAGTTGAACACTGAAATATTCATAGTAAATCAACAGCTGAAATAGAAAATACGGGATTTATTTGAATAGCATAGTTATTCTAAACTCCTAGCATATAAATTATAAAATAATTTTTAAACAATTGTACAAGTATAAATGTATCGTTAATGATTTGTTCGATAGTTTGATAGTGTTATATAAGTGAGCAATAGTACGTGGTCTTAGAATGAACTTTATATGAACAGATAACTGGCACGATTACAGCTGCTCAACAAAGATGAACTTTGTGTGTGAGAGAGTTGTCTCCCCTGATAGCCAGGCTACATATGTTGGCCTTGGTATCCCCACCGGTAGAGACGTAGTAACAACCATAAACGACCGTAGGTTTTCACATTAATACAATATTTCAATAACTGCATACATTTCTTTCTTTTTTTTTTAAATATCAAACTATATTTATATTTATTTCGGCAGCCCAAATTAAAATGATATTGTTAAACCTTGACGATTTTTGAATTGTTTTTATTCATTTTGAATAGCTCAATCATTAGATAAAATAAATCAACTAAATAAGAAAACGAAAAATATCTATAAGTATTATATATATATATATATATATATATATATATATATATATATATATATATATATACATATTTAGTATGTATGATATGTATATGTATAATGTATATGTATATATTATATTATATATATATATATATATATATATATATATATATATATATATATATATATATATTATATATATATAAGTATTCAGGAGGCAATTGTATTTATCTGAAGTAATACACTAATTAATTTTTACTTTTAGGCAATCCTTATCCTGTAGCCGGTAAAGTTGGGTTTACAAGACTCAAGCGGATTTGATTCCGCGGTCTTCACAACACCACTCATCCTGGTTCTTATCTTGTACTTGTCGCTGGTTTTGCCTGGCATTATAGGAAAGGTGAGTCTAACGTTTTAAAATTGTAGTCTATAATTTGATCAATGGATTTTGATTTATGTAGACATCATATAAAGTTATCTTAACAATGTTTGGCGTATTTTTATATATATAATTATATGAATATATATATATATATATATATATATATATATATATATATATATATATATATATATATATATATATATATATAAACATATAAATAAATATATATATAAAACGTATATTTATTGCTTTGTTAGCAATTTTATCTGATAGTGCTATACATAAGAAATAAACAATATTTTTTTATAGATCAACTGTTACTCGATTGTTAACAGTTTATTTTTTTTTTTAGTGCGACAACTAAAGCGAACTATAAGGTAAGTTACATTCAAGTATTGCGTGTATTTTGATAATACATCTTGGCACTCAAATCGCTAAGTTTATCATAATACACTCATACACATGTTTTGTGTTGCCTCTGGTAATTAGTCACATATATTTTTGTTGTGACGAGTGTTTTAAAAAGTGTTGTGTATATGTTTTTTTTTGTTTGGTAAAAATTACATAAATATAATTGATTATAAAACTGCACACGTTAACTAAAGGAACAATGTTTTCAAGAATTGTTTCTCAATATAATTTATTTAATCAAATGCCTTTTATTACCTTACAAGTATTATGATTAGAAGGCAATACTTATGATACAATTTCAATCGTTACGAGTTTGAAAATAATTGTTTATCTATATAATTTATATTTTTAACAAAATGTCATGAAAAGTATATTTTCGATGATGCAAAAAAAGAAGCATCAAATTAATAAAAATTGCAGCTTTTTAAATTTAGCAACAAACTGGGAGAAAGAGATAGAGAAATAGAGGGATATATATATATATTTATATATATATTATATATAATATATACTATATATATATATATATATATAGAAAGGAACTATATAAACATATGTTATGTGTATATAGACGATAAAAATATATTTAGAAAATCGGAAGAGCAGGCTGATTTTCAAAGGAGCGATGATCAAAGCCAAATTGAACTCATCTTCATGGATTAGATATTGTTGAATGTAAGTAGGAAATTAACAACTCTGTGGTTATTTAACTTTTTTTTTATTACACATTCTATAAAAACAGTTTCGCTATATATCCGACAATGAAATGGTCAACTAAATAGGTTGTTTAAAGATTGATTCTGTAATAAAAAAGATTGCTTTTTTCTTGCGATTTTAGTAGCGCAGGTTTGAAAATTGTTCACTTCTCCTAGCCCACGGTTTTAAAAACCAGTAGTGTCTTTTTAGTAAAGATTGGGTTCGGTTTAACTTAAATTGGTAACCTGAGTGAATCACAGGTTGAATAAGTTCTTGTTTGTTTACTCTACAGATTCAATTGTTTTAAGTTTAAACAATGTACATACATAAAAGACTGAATCATTTCGTGTTACTGTTTGCGTCCCGTCTCACTGTTTCAATTTCAAATGTAATGGGACACATTGGTTAAGCAATACTTTGTATTTAGGATATGTAGTCCATTTGGCAAATGCAGTAGAGTTCCCCCTGTTTCTGCGACCTTGGCATATGAAGTAATAGTACGGTCAGCAGAATTACTTTACCTCGCTTTAGTCGAGTACCCATTAGAGCTGGGTGGACTCAAGGATTCGAACTTAAGAGTTCAGGTTAGTGGTCACATTCTGCAACTCGACAACGTCATCGTTACAAAAATATCGACAACTTAAGGGGGCAAGCTACTAAAGATTTTCAATAAAATATCTTACTTGTTGTGTCTCGTTATAGCGTTTTCTAACATTTTATAATAATATTGTGTTGCAAGCGCGCATCGATAATGTAAACTTTATTTATTAAAAATAACAATGTCCATTATTTTTTGTAACAGATTATTTAAAGAAAAAATGTTGTTCCCGAAATAACAGATATCAAGAATAAATGAAAATTATATCCTGTCAAAGAACAATAACACACAATAAAAGTCATAAAAAAGTCATTAAAGGTGTCAAATGATTGTAGGTTATTGCATCAATGAAGTGAAATCTGTAATCACTAGAATATTTTTTAATTACCATCTTACAAATTTGATTAACCCTAGCAAAATGAAATGATTAAAATAAGCACAGAATTGTTTTAATGTGAGATCAAATAATCTTATGAACTTATATATTGTTATTTAATCAGCTAAGTAGCAGTATACTAAGTGGACGCAAACAAATATATTAAGTTCGTTGACTTGTTTTTTATTTAATGTTCTGTAATTTGTTTGATTTTATGTAATAGTACATATTTTTCAATATATGCATCACTGATTTGCTGATCAAGGAAATGTAGTTTCCATA